CTCACTGCCAGCACTCAGGGAGTCGACACACTCATCCAGGGTCAAGATCCGTCCTCTGAGACACTTTGAGGACGTGACAGCAGCTGTGACAGAGTCCAGAGACAAACTACAGGACATCCTGAGAGACACATGGACAAACATTGAACTGGCAATAAGTGATGTGGATGTTCTACTGTCAGAACCAGAACGAGAACCAAAGACCAGAGCTGGATTCTTAAAATATTCAGAAGAAATCACTCTGGATCCAAACACAGCACATAGAGAACTGTTATTTTCTGAGGATCACAGAAAAGTATCAACTTTGGACGAAGAAGAACATGAAGAAGATGAAGTACAAGAAGAAGATGTAGAAGAAGGCAACAAAGATGAAGACAACGAAGATGAAGAAGACAACGAAGATGAAGAAGATGAAGTAGAGGATGAAGAAGATGAAGTAGAGGATGAAGAAGAAAAAGACAAACAAGAAGTGGAAAAACAAGAACAAAAAACTGAAAAACTGGAAGAAGTGCTTTATTCTGATCATCCAGACAGATTTAGTGATATCCCTCAGGTCCTGAGTAGAGAGAGTCTGACTGGACGTTGTTACTGGGAGGTGGAGTGGAGCGGAGAAGGAGTTGCTGTAGCAGTTTCGTATAAGAACATCAGCAGAGAAGGAAGATCAAATGAATGTTTATTTGGATTGAACGACAAATCTTGGTCTTTGATTTGTTTCAAAAACGGGTACAGATTTTGCCACAGCAACTTTGAAACTCCAGTATCAGGTCCAGTTTCCTCCAGAATAGGAGTGTACCTGGACCACACAGCAGGTATTCTGTCTTTCTACAGCGTCTCTGAAACCATGACTCTCCTCCACAGAGTCCAGACCAGATTCACTCAGCCGCTACATGCTGGGATTGGGGTTTATAATGATGGAGTCTCTGTTGAGTTGAATAAACATAAATAGTCAGCAGTGATCTGATCCAGCGATCCATTTGGTTAAAATGTGTATTGTACTTTCAGTTTCTTTAATCTCCATCATTGTTGTCATTTCTTCATTGCCCAGAGACTAGAGTAGAATCCAGAAATGAAGGATAAGAGTCAAAGCCATGCTTGACTTAACAGCAGAAATGAACCATAGTTCATCCTGACTTTTTTCCGTTTCACAAAGACCAAGCTGGGCTCAGGAAGTCCAACTATGTCGAGCCAGGTTTAAGTACTTCAGGTGATTGCGAGTCCTCAGATTTCTTCAGCAGACCAATGAGATCGATCACAGATTCACTGATTCTACGCTACATAACTTGCATACGTCACGTGTCTCACATCAAACAAACATCTTTTGATGAAGGATTATGAGGAATTGAAGCACATCTTACTAAAGACGAAAACTGCTGCTACAAGAGCAAATGATAATGGATTGATTGAATGCATAATTAGCCCAAAATTTACATTTCCAAACCATTCTTAACAAAAAACGTTATAATCATACCTGTCTTTTACTCAAATAAAAAACTTTAACCAAATAAATGAACAGTGGAAGTCAATGTTATAATATTTACATGCTATAAGCAGATTCATTCATGTTACTCATGTTTTGTTCTTATTGATATTTATACAGTACAGAACAAACATAAAAACAGGCCAAGGTATAGGAACATTTACAGTATCTGGTATGTGGATAAAATTTTGACTACTATGCGCAAATCACTTATACTAGTAACTTGAAAGATCCTTGCCTATATCACCCTTAGTTATTCCTGCTTAACTTGCTATTTTGAGTTGTGATGCTTTTGTTTTGAACAGGCAATTTCTTGTTTAACTGTCTGAACTCCTGAGGAAGATGATCAGTTTGGGAGGATCCAAGATGCCGTAATGTTTGGGGCCATCAGTTTCACAAACTGTGATATTATTTACAAAGCTGATCTCCACAAACAAGGGTAATCCAGGAGCTTCTCCTGAGATGCTCAAATTAACTGTTAAATATTTTAACAGAGAATTTTCAGCATGAAGCAAGCAGATTGTTTCATTTGACCTCTTATGAAACATTTTTTTTGTAAAATTCAGTCCTCTAATGTAAAAACTTGGACATGTAATAAGCTTACAAATCTTTAATGAGCATCAAACAGTTCACCACAAAAGAGTTAATAAATGTGTTCATTCAGATGAATAGTATTAACGTTGGTTACAGTGAGAGTAACTAGTGGGAGCCAAGATGCATGAAATGGAACATTAAATTTGGCTAAATGGAAGCCAATTTCAGAGTCTGAATTGAAATGCTTAAAAAGCTTTGAGATGAAGTGACAAATTTAAGTACAATCTGAAGCCTTCAGTAGTCCTCTGCCCCTCCCAAGAAAAACGGCTGCTAAGCTCCTCCCTTTTATTCAAGACAGCGTTCAACTCTGCAGCTGCATTTCTGGTTTTTCCTGTTTCACTGTTCTGAAAGTGTCAGTATTGGTAGGATCCTTGAGCTGTGCACATCAACTGCTGGGGATCAGCAACAACTTGGTGTTTCATTTCTTGTGAGACACATCTACAGGAAAAAGAGGAACTTCAGACATTCAGTATTGCTGAGAAGTGAAATGGCTCAGAGAAGAAATCAGATGGATTCAGGAAAACTTTCTTGCTCTATTTGTTTGGATCTTCTGAAGGATCCGGTGACTATTCCCTGTGGACACAGTTACTGTATGAACTGTATTAACAACCACTGGGATGAAGATCAGAGGAAAATCCACAGCTGCCCTCAGTGCAGGAAAGAGTTCAAACCAAGGCCTGTCCTGGTGAAAACCATCATTTTATCAGAGTTGGTGGAGGATCTGAAGAAGACTGGACTCCAAGCTGCTCTAGCTGATCACTGCTATGCTGGACCTGAAGATGTGGCCTGTGATGTCTGCACTGGGAGGAAGATGAAAGCTGTCAAGTCCTGTTTGGTCTGTATGGTTTCTTATTGTGACAATGACCTCCAATCTCACTATGATGTCCCTGGACTGAAAAAACACAAGCTGGTGAATCCCTCCAAGACTCTCCAGGACAACTTCTGCTCTCGTCATGATGAGGTGATGAAGATCTTCTGTCGTACTGATCAGCAGTGTATCTGTTATCTCTGCAATATGGGGGAACATAAAGGCCATGAAACAGTCCCAGCTGCAGCAGAAAGAGCTGAGAAGCAGAAGAAGCTCCAGGAGAGTCGACAACAAATCCATCAGATAATCCAGGACCAAGAGAAAGATGTGAAGCTGCTTCAACAGGAGGTGGAGGCCATCAATGTCTCTGCTGATAAAGCAGTGGAGGACAGTGAGAACATCTTCACTGGGCTGATCCGTCTCCTCCAGGAAAGAAGCTCTGAGGTGAAGCAGCAGATCAGATCCCAGCAGGAAACTGAAGTGAGTCGAGTCAAAGATGTTCAGGAGAAGCTGGAGCAGGAGATCACTGAGCTGAAGAGGAAAGACGCTGAGCTGGAGCAGCTCTCACACACAGAGGATCACAACCAGTTTCTCCTCAACTACCCCTCACTGCCAGCACTCAGGGAGTCGACACACTCATCCAGCATCAAGATCCGTCCTCTGAGACCCTTTGAGGACGTGACAGCAGCTGTGTCAGAGCTCAGAGACAAACTACTGGACATCTTGAGAGACGGATCAAAAAACATGCCACTGAAAATTAATGATGAGGATGTTTTAGTACCAGAACCAAAGAGCAGAGCTGGATTCTTAAAATATTCAACAGAAATCACTCTGGATCCAAACACAGTCCACAATATGTTGTTGTTGTCTGATGGGAACAGAAAAGTAACACGACTGGAACAACAACAGTCTTATCCTGATCATCCAGACAGATTCACTTATTATGCTCAGGTCCTGAGCAGAGAGAGTCTGACTGGACGTTGTTACTGGGAGGTTGAGATTAGAGGAG